AGTTAAACCCTTGTTTTGAATAGTGCAGTCATTATTAGTTTAAGTTTTAAAGACTTTAAATGTCAGTTTTTTCTGATGTTTTTGAGTTAAAAGCTATTACTTGACATTGCCTGAGCGGCTCATTTGCATTGATCTGGACTGAATATGGATCGGGCTGCACGCCGCAGCGATACTATGATGAAATTGCGCTTGGGCTGTAGGAGCCCCTCCGGAGTCTGAAACCCCACAGTGAGCGCGGGTACCCAAATGGATCGGGCTGCGCGCCGCAGCGCTCATGTGCATTGCATTGTATTCATGCATTGATTCCTGTTTGTACTACGTGTCATGACATTCGGCACTCTCATATCATTGGCATCCATGCTACTTCTTGCACTGTTTACCAGATACCCTGGTGTTATTTGTTGCTGGAGTGCTGTGCCCGAGGGGCTGACTTATGTGCGGACTTGCACTATCTGATTACGCATTCATTTGCTTGACTGTTGGAAAAGGATATTTTCAAAAGAGGTTTTTAAACTGAGCCAGATATTTTCTAAAGGATTTTTCACGGTTTTACTGTTTTCTCAAAGGGTTGTACTGTCCTATATAGCATGATGGGAGTGCTCTTACGTGATTTCTTGCCTCTTAGTTATTATTTACTCTTATTACTCACTGAGTTGGAAGTACTCACTTTACTCCCTGCACCTCACGTGCAGTTGCAGGTATTGTTCACCCGGTAGCGGGTTATTAGCGGATTGAAGGTATTGTTATTGTAGCTGAGCAAGGTGACCGCCAGCGTTCGCGGCACCGGATGTTGTCTTTTGTTTTCCAGAAATTTTACTTGTATACATTTATTGGCCTGTAGTTGTGTTAAGGTTTCCTTAGATGCTCGTGACTTGTGACACCCCGGTCGGGTAGTAATTAACAGTTTCTAATGCCATTAAGTTGTATCTTCTATTCATTTATGTTTAATAATTTGCTAGTGAAAGGATTTGGGTTAGTTGGCTGGCCTTGTCTTCACGAGAGGCGCCATCACGACCGGGTATGGGAATTGGGTCGTGACATCTCTTGTCCCAGTTTAGCTCTTCCTTCTATTAGGTCTTGTATCCCATCTGTAATTTCTCACGTTGAGCCTCATATATTTCCAATCTTTCAGCTTGTTCCACCAGCCAGTTTGACTCAGAATCTCCTATTTTTCAAAATTTTCCTCTTGTTGGTGCTCGCTCTCTTCATTTAATTCTTCCATACTGGCCTTCATTCTTGTGATTGCTGCCCTCATTCTTTTCATATCTTTTCTAAGTTCATCATGTTGCTCTGCTACTTGCCTCAGAATATCCCTAAAATATGCATCACGTTCCATATCCTTTACTTCATTGCCCCTATCAAACTCACAAACATTATAAGAAAGATCATAATAAGAGCTCTGAGAAGGATCATAAGAATTAGGACAACCATCCCAATGGCCATCTTGACCACCACATATATGACAAATATTCCACTCAAAGGATTGAGATTATGCGCACAACTCGCTCCCGGGAACATTCTGACAATTTTTCCACCAGTGAGGTCCTCCACAATATGGACAAGGATCATCATAATAAGAATAACCAATATTCAACCAATTCTCATTCCAAGAAGCCATGTCAACAAAGATAATAAAATATTAAACTAAGATAAAAATAAAAAGAAACTTGAATAGACAAAAAGTAAAAATCTAACCTAGTAGACTAGTTAATTTCTAAGTCCCCGGCAACGGCGCCAAAAACTTGTTGCTCCCAAACGCACACGCAAGTATACGCGATCGTCAAGTAATAAAGTGACTAAAAGTCGGATGTCGATCCCACAAGGACTTGTGATTAACTATAAACTAAATTAGACTATCCTAATTATCTAAACAAGAATTAAACCTAGAAGTATTTGGTTCTAAACTAATTAAAATAAATAAAAACAAATAATGAACTTTGGACAGAGAATGAGCAGATTTTTATGATATCAATGTAATGAAAACAATCTAGGGTTATGGGCTATCTAACATTCCTATTGTATTCTTTAATTGAATTGACTAACTAATTTATCGAGTTTATTGGTTGACAGGGTTAATATTGCTCATAAGAATCTGTCGAGTCCTTACTCGCCTATTCAAGCTAACCTAACGCCTATATGTCTATGGAGTTAGAATCAAGAAGAACGCATTTATAATTCCTGTATTTCAACCAAGCAAGGCAATTAGGTATATGTCTATCCTAACCGCGAATCCGTTCCCCGATGCACAGGTTCAAGAACTTGCTCTACTCAATCCTATATGCAATCAAGAATTCCCACTTTCGAGTTCAACTCTAGATTCGTAGATAGTATTCAATTGGTGATCAAGCAATCAAATAATTAAGCGCAAGATTAAATAAATAAACCAATATGATAAACTAAGAAATCAAAATCAATATCAATAACAATAGTCATGAAAGAACCACAACCCTAGAACGTGAAGTTTAGCTCCACATAGACATGGTAGCAAAACAACAAATCATACAAAGAAACATAAAAAGACTAAGTTTGGTGGAAGAAAAGATGAAACCCGGCCTCCACAGCGGCTTTGTGCTTGTGTTTTCCTCTCAAAAACGTCCTCCACCTTTCAAAGTGGTATTTTAGGATGTATTTATATGGCCTAGGGTTGATGAGGGGCGGAATTCTTCAATCCAACTTCGGATGGTAGAGCTGGAATCCGCGTCTGCCTTCGCGTCTAGACGCGAACATTGACGCGGATCCGCGTTTGCCTTCGCGTCTAGACGCGGACTTTGACACGGATCCAGCTTTTGAGATTCTTCCATTTCGCGAAGTGCTCCGTGCCTTTGCTTCGCTTCGCTGTTTTGTGCTTAACTTTTCTCCTTTTTCGCGTCCGACTTCGTGCCACGCACGAGAATAGACGAGCTCCCACTCCTTTAATTTCTTTTTTTTGTGTCGAATTGTCATCTTTTGATCATTTAGCATCCAAACTCGTTCCTACACATAAAAAACACATAATGAGTATATTTCACTTCGAAAATCATGTAATATCCCGCGACACACATAAAAATTAATATGCAAATATACTAAAAAATATACACTTTTCATCAATTATCACCAAACATCACGGGTTCAAATCCTGACACAAAATTAAGAAAGAGATGCACAAACCTATGGTTGTATTGGTGAAAAATTCTATTGACTAATTTAAAGTCCAAACCCCCTCCCCTCGAACACCCCCACCCCACCCCACCCCCACCCCCACCCCCACCCCCAGAAGAAACAAAAGCAGAAGATAAAATTAGAAGTATGCTTTGACAATGAAACAAGGAAACGCCAACAATTTTCTTCTACAAAAAGTTCTTCTGCTTTGTTACATCTTTGTAATTCATCTACATTAATTATTATTATTTTTGGGTTAAACTCCTAATAGCTCAAAAGCATATTCTTCAATACGACACAACTGAAGCAACCAAAATGCCTTAGTCTTAAATGCAACCCACATTTAAAATCCCAAAAGAAACATTTCATTTGAAAAATACCAAAGAAAAAGGAAAATGAATTAGTGTAATGAAAGTGAATATAATTAACTAAGTTAAAAAGCTCGAGTAGAAAATTCAAAGTGTAAAAAAAAACGGAGCAAGGCAGGGCGGTGGATGCGGGTGCAGTTGCGGGGCAGGTGGATACGGGTGAACATGCTATGTGGGGCAGGGCGGGACGGATTGAAATTTTGTGGATAAAAAAGAACCCGCCCTGCATCCGCCCCATTGCCATCCCTAGCCTTGTAAAAAGAATTTTTGCTGAATGGTATATCCATATTACATGACCTACTTACACTTGTGTTATTTTTCCAGCCTTCTCCGTTTTGCAAAGTTGTACATGAGGTGCTTGTTGAACTAGAGCTTCTCCACATACTTTCACAGGTGCATATTACTATGAAATGGATGATGAACAAAACCTATATGCTATTCAATTGTGGTAGCAAAATGGTTAAAAGAAAACAGTTAACTACCTATATTATTCACCAAAAAATGGGTTGGATAATAAACTTTTTTAAAACGGGTCAAATATGGATAATAATCATATTATCCATTTAAAAAATGGATATCCAATGAATAACCAATAGATAACTAATGGGTCTAACTTTTACATTTGTAAAGCTTCAAATTGGGGGTTCCTGAAGTTAGGGAGACTAAGAATACTCCCAAAAGTGATCATACAAGAAGTCGTGGATAATATGGTTACCCATATTACACTACAAGAAAATAAGGATACGACGACATTAAATAAATGTCGCATAATGCTGCTTAAATGTCACAAATTTATTTACCGATATTTAATTTACATTTGTATCAAATGTCGTAAATTTTGTGGTCGGGAATTTTCCGACATTTGCATAAATGTCGGTAAGAAATTTACGACATTTATTTATGACATTTTTTGAAACCTCACTTAAAATTGCTGACATTTAGAATAATGTTGGTAAAATGATCATGACATTTGTTCACATCTTTTAAGAAATGTCGCATTATAATTTACGACATTTTAGTAACTGTCAATAAAAAATTTACAACATTTAGGTGAATGTCAAATAAATTAATGACATTTTTTTAAATCTTCTAAAATGTCACTTTGAAATTTGCATATCAAACTTCTCAAATATAAATAATAATCTTTTACTTAGTTTTTCATCGTGACTCATACATTTTAATTTGATTTGTACATTCATAAATGTCAATCTTTACACACAATGTAATAAATGTGAAAAATAAAAATTTTCTTCTCACGTTGTATTTGAAGAACATGGTAACTGACATAATAAGGGTTCTCCTTACAAGTTAAGAGTTCAAATCAAATGACCTGTTATATCTCAAATAAAAAGTAATTCAAATTAAATCATAAAAGATAAAGTAATTTTAACATGGAACTATGTCAAATTCACTTCTAATCTGAATGAATTCCCTTAAATTCTAGAATAAATTCTGAAGCAAGGCTTTACGGATCCATCACAAGCCAAGTATTCCTTGCAATAATTGATCTTACATCCTTCAGAAGTTCTGCAAAGAGAATTAAAAGTATGTAATAAATAGCCTATATAGAATACAAGATAAAATCAACAAGACGAAGCCTATATAGACCCAAAATATCGCACACTTCTACAAAAATAGCATAAGAACTTTAAATTACAAGCAAAAGTTTGGAGGCAACATTGACAGCACATTTATACTAGAGCTCCTTCTGTGACAACATTGTAAAAGTTCTTTTGAACTAAAAGCGTCACTATTTACAAATCACAAAGATATCATTCAATATAGACCCATCAATTCTTAAAATGCTTACAGACAAGTGAACATCAATTAAAAAAAGTAGCTACAATTAAGCATACTTCAATCAAACAATGACAGAACTTATTTCAAACTAAACTAAAGCTGAAGAGGCAAAAATTATAAAGAAATAAGCCAGGCCAAAACTACAACTTATAATTCTCATTCTGAAAAACTAGTAACCGAAAAGAATTGAGTTTCACAAATTTATAAGATAATCTCAATTCTCCAATCAATAGAATAAATAAGAATAAATATAATTAATCTGATGGTGATATAAGACTGGATTTTGCATTTACTAAATAGAAGAGAAATAAAGGAATGGTGGAGATGAGTAGGAATGTAGTTTTCCACAAATGCATTCTAAGTGAGCTATAAAGCTACTGTTCGAAATAAGTTTGCACTACAACTCAAACATGTTATAGCCACACTACGTAATTTGCTATATATCTAATATATCAATAGGTAAACACCCACAAATTTTTCTCAAATACGAGATTATAACACATGGGCAATTAACTCGTAACTTTGATCTAAAACTCACCTTATTTTTGTGAACAACTGAAATCGGTGATAATGATTGTTGGTGATCTTCATATGAGTCATCGAAAACCTATCACAAAGAGGGAGATTATTAAATCAAACACAAAAATACTTTTTTTAACTATCACACTACAAATAATTAGATTTACATAGTATATATTAAATTAAACAGAAGACAGATAAGAACCTGCAAAAGCCTCACCAAAAGTCTGAACCCTACATCAATGTTCTTCCAATAGCTTGCCTCCCTTTCCCTGTTTTCTTAAATTTCCAATTAAATTGCCAAAGCGTAATGCAAAATTAGGTTGTTGAATTCTAACTAATAAAGGAAACTTAATTTTAGAATTAGGAAGAGGGAATCCGAAAATTTTTACCGTCAAAATCTTTTCCTTCTAAATCTCTCATACTCTCCATACATAGCTTTTTTCGGAACCACAATTTGTAGAGAGGGAATATATTGCGGTGATGGAAATCAAATTTGACTAAAATTAGACTAAGTTTGGTAAAAGATGGAGCCAATTTTAGAATCCCCAATATGTTAGGGCTTTGAGGTTTCGGCCATTTGGGGTCTAACAATTCGCTAACTTTAGGTTAGCAATTATGCAAACATATATGGTCTCTGTTTGTATATATTTTTTTTTAATTTTGTTTACTTTGTTTTTAAATTCAACATTTAACAGGTACTAGTTTTATTATTGAATAAACAGCATATTTTAATCTTTAATTTACAAAATAGTATAATAATGCGGACAATAAAAAGTACATAAAAAATTTAATTAAATAAAAAGATAAAAAAAACTCGTAAAAAAAAAATATAACATGTTTTTTCAAGTATAAATAATGCAATGGTGTTAAAATTATTATAAGATACAAATCAATTATAATGTCTTAATTTTTAAATAAATAATAAATTTTTAAAAAATATTATCAACTATACATAATTACCTTCGTAAAAGTAAATAATAATCAATAAATTACATTATAGTAATTTAAAATTTACTCCTTCATAAATAAATACATAAATACTTTAAAATTATAAAATAATAAAAGTTTAATATTCTTAGAGACACAAAACTAAGAAATCGAGACCAATTATATGTGAAGATATATATTTCGTATATCTGTATATTTGCAGAAGAAATCAAATAATATTCACTGTGATGTTCTCACTTAGTAAATATGCTACACTTTAACTTTGTTATTTGAGTTAATCTCAATCTTCATATTTTTTATATATCAATAAAATGTTATCATTCATTTGGTAAAGTATTCTTAAGGGTCAATAATAGTAATTAGGATATTTAACGCACAATTTGCATAGGAACTATTTGGTCACCCAAGCGTTAAACAATAGTGCACAATTAGGCACTTGAGCGTACGTAAGTCTCACAAAACTAAACTCCACACGTGAAACTCATGCCATTTTACAAGTGCCGCACCCAAAGGCCGGCGAGTCCTAAAAAGCCTTTTAAAATGTTGATTAATAATAAGAGAACTCATCTATTCTGTGGGAAATTATCACAATACCAAAAAAATATAGTATTAAATAAAAATAATATTTTTTTGATTCTAGACAAACAATGATTTACAATTAATGTAAATGTTGGTAATTACCGACTAATAATACGACATTTAAAATAAATGTCACAATCTTTTTGACATTTTATATCAAATGTCAGTATTTTTATGACATTTTGCCTCAAATGTTATTATTTTTATGACATCTAGTACAAAATGTGATTGTTTTTACGATATTTTGTATCAAATGTCATTATTTTTACAACACTTTGATTCAAATGTCGTTATTTTTACTATATTTTGTCACAAATGTCGTTATTTTCACTATATTTTTTCATAAATGGCGAGATTTTTTCCCGACATTTATTACAAATGTCACTAAATAAATATCGTCATATCCTTACTTTCTTGTAGTACAAGTGTCATAACATTAAATTGACACATGTAAATATTTTGGACAATTCTCCAATTTTGTTGGAGTTTCAAATTTATTTAAAAAAAAAAGTAAAGACACGTCTTTTTTAGAATTTTTAAATTTTCAAACAATATAACCCACCAATAAAAACCACCAACTACTCCCACTTCTTCCATTTCCCCCCTCAAATAAAGTCTTTAAACTTCAAAAGCAACAGTAAATAAAAAACTTCAATGATCAAATTACTCAATACAATCGTAAGAAAATAGAAAACGCAAAGGTAAAAAAAAAAAACTGAAACAATACCCATTATGGACTATTCATGAACACTCTCTCCCTCATAAATGATTCTCCTCCTATTTTCCATAATTACGAACTTTGTTCCATGTGTGGGCTTAAAATTTCGGCAATTTGACATCTCTCGCTCAAGGTATCCATAGTGATTCTACATTCGTGCCCTCCAGAGTTCAATTTTGAAGTAAATTTTTGAATTGCAAAAAGTTCGTCTTCAAAATAGTCGGTTCACAATTTCATCCAGAAAATGTGCTCTTTTTTTATTTGAAAAATTGCAACTTCTGCATTTTAGTTTTAATTAATTTACTTCTAAGTACGTTTTGTTTGTTTTGTATTTTTGCAGTATTGTTCACAAGGAGGATCTGTGAGAATTCTTATAATGTGATCGATGAAGGGAGTATATATTCAGTAATGAGGTAAGTTCTATTTTTCCTATTTTATGGGTATTATTCTCATCTAATTTGGGTATTATTCTTCTCATTCTATTGAGTTTTATGGTAGCAACTTTTTTGGATCTTCTTCTTTTTCTTCTTTTGGACTAATTNTATATATATAATTTTCTTTTGTCCAAGTAATTACCCAGACGCCCACTTTATGGGAAACTACTAGATTCGTTATTGTTGCTGTTTTGTCCAAATAATTACTATTTGTGTTTAATTTACTCTGTATATTAAACTTTTTTTTTTTGCACTATTAAAATAGCTCCTTTACGACCGAACCATGCTGACCAAACTCAAAAATCGATCAAGCCGGACGCAATAAGCAAAAAGGAAGTCCTAGTTTGTTTGAAGAAAATTCAATCGATTTTTTAGCGCACTTTATTTCGAGTATAGAAAACATAATGTAAATTAAAATGAATATTTAAATATGATTTAATGCGACTTATAAATCGCTATTGGCAAATGCCACTTATTAAGAATTGATAAATACGACATATAAATTGTGATGGGTAAAAAACGCCAATTATAAAGTGCAATTTCAAACGCGACTTATATGTCGCAATCAAATGCCACTTATAAATCGCAGTGCTCAAATGTGACTTTTAAATAGCAATATCTGAATGTATACTTATAAAATATAATCTACAAATGAGACTTATAAATCGCAATCATCAAATGCAACTTTAATATTGCAAAAACTCACAATACTTCACTCTTCCTTTCTCCCTCTACTACTTCATTCTCTTATTAGTGTCTCTATTTTGTTTCTCTCTCTTAAAAAGCTATAGAAGGAAAATATCGAAGTTATTGGCGAATGTGGAGAAGCGAAGTAGGAAGATGCTTAACCTCACTTCCTACAGCGAATACCCAAAAAGTATAACAAAAACTAAAGACTCTTAGACCAAAATATGGTTCTATACCAAAGTCACCCAACCTTACATTAAAAAAAAAAAACTTGTGCACGAAAAGGAGACTAGACACACTAGGTTATTTGTCACATGTACGAAATCTTTTTCGATCCTTTCAAATGCTCTCCTATTCCTTTGTTCCATATTAACCACATAAGAGTTAGCGGTGACATCCCACGTGCGCCTTGTGTCTTCTCTTCCTTCTTCTAAAAGCTCATTGTATAGTGCATCCTTTACTGTGCTCGGCATTACCCATTATTAGCTTATTCGTTCCAAATTTCTAACTCTCAGTTGTCGCAATTTCCTTCGAATGATGATGTCCCTTTCCCTTAGTTATTCTTGAAATATCACCTTATATATAGAAGCTAGTATTCTTCTTGTGATGAAAAGAAAATGGAGATGATAAATAAAACCAATAAAGTTCAGTTTGTACCTGAAACAATCCATTACAAGAAAGCTGAAGACTACACTTCGACAACACCAAGTTAACTGGTGTAACTAGATTGGCTAGTTGATGCAGGTGCAACCAAAATACATATTAGTATGTGTTTATCCTCAAAATCGGATAACAATTGAATTTGTAAGTGGTTTTAAGGATACGCGGATTAATTTGACACAAAGCAGTAAATTGGGTTAGATTAAACAAGTAAAAATGAAAACAAATTCAAACCATGCGCGTAGGATAGTTTCAGCCTTAGTGAAATCTTCCCCCTCGATGTGGGCACACTGTGACCAGCACTGATGAACAAGATAAGAGCTAATGAGAGAGAAAAAATAATAATATATTGCCTTGGAATGCGTGTTACAACCTGTGTTATGAAACACCAAACCCCCTTTATATAGTAGGAGAGTCTCATTCTAGGTACAATTCCTATAAAAGATAAAAATCTTCTAATTAACTGATTACCGATTTCCTATCGATAGGTGCCGAGCTCCCCGCCGTGATATTCGATCGGTCATGGATATCACGGCCTTACGTTGGCCGGGCTTGATTACCTGACAACGTCCTTCGAAGTTAATCAAGGCTAGGACAGATCCCGAACCATGACCCCGATATCCTCGAAGGTGGGTGTTATGGTCCCGGACTCCAAATCGATGAGACCTCTACCTCGGTCTCGGCCCCCTGTTATCATATCTTGAGCTTGGCTTATCACGTCAGAGACTAGGGTGTACCGTGAGACCGGTTTTACCCGTATATAGATAGTCCCTTCATTTCTCGGAGAATAAGTTGACGAGAAACGACATGAGCTCCCCGATTCCTTCTTCGATATCGTATCAGAAACGACAAAAATGTGAAACGTCTCGTCAGTCACGTCATAATGGCAATAAATGCATGTCAACCGCCGGTTGGCCATCCTTGGACATGAAGCGTCGCCCAACTACTATAAATACCCCCTCATTTATTTATTTTCACTTACATCAAACCTTCTACCCTCGTACCCTTGGAATTACAATACTCTTTAGCACTTTTACCACTGATACTCAAGGTCTTTTGCAAAGTATTTTTTACCCATCTTCTTCTCAAGCCAACAAGTCTAGTCCTTCAACCTCCTCAATTTCTTCATCTTTTCCAGATCCTCCTCCATTTTACTTTCTAAAAGAATGGAAAAGACTTCCAAAATCGTTCCCCAGAAAGAAACTCCTTCTACTTCGTAGCCGGCCACTGAGGTCAAAGAGACCGCTCCGGTCGTGGCTGTTGATGAACCAGCAATTGAACCGCCCTTAAAAATGTTCATTCCCGGGGATGCTCGGCCAATGACGACTTCAAGGTTGAAAAGACTTCCTCCGTACAGGGTCGGTGTGAGGAGGTCTTGAGATATATTTGCTCGATCACCGAAGAGGTCCTCCCTACGATCCGAAAAGATTACAACTATGCCGATAAACGCATAGTGTTCCCCGACCCCGAGGAGGCCATTACCACCTATGTCTAGAAATATCTAAGTGTTTACACTTATCCCTTTACATTGGGACCCTGGACCCGGT